TGTATTGAACTCTGAAATAGAATAATTAACACCAAAATTTTAATGTATTTTTATTCTTATTCAAAGTCTACTGCTTCTTGGGAATTGACCAGCTTCTCGAGATGAGACTCTTCTCCAAGGCGATTGCCCAACTGAAGGAGTGCTCCTTCAACGCTTGATTCATCACCTTGCACATTATATGCTGTTAAGTCCTATGTTAATGGTAGCGTCCTTATTCATACGTGGAAGCTTGTAATTATTACTTCCTTGCATTGCAATAGACGTTTGCATCAATTTCTGCAGCGTAATACATGTTTTGGACAATGTATCCTCTGGCAACTCATAAAACGCGACTTTTACAGCATCAATTAGTTCCTCGATACTTCGAGTACATTTTTGATGCTGCAGGCTTTGAATAGAATTAAAAAACCTAAATCTAAGACATTAAAGTCTGGACTATTTGGTGGCTGGTTAATAACACCAATGTTTTCGACTCCAGCGGCACGCAACACCGTCGTGACTTGTCGATGAGGACTTGCATTGTCCTGTTGGATTCGGACACCACGCGACAGGTCATCAGGGGGAAATTTCTTGATGATGGCAGGCACAACTCTCCCCAAAATAAACGCCTTGTACACCGTACCGTTGACATTTTTTGGAACAGTAACAGGGGCTCCCTTGGACCGATTCTTGCTGCCTCGAATGGCTCGGGCCACTTCATCGAATGGCCAGACCCCGATCTTACCATCGAAGCTCACCTTGGTGGAGGGGTTGTACCGCGGTCGTGCCACTGCAGCAAGAAACATCACCTTGGTGATGAAGTTCTTGGACTTGACCGATCGGGCTGCGACTTCTTCATCTTCGTACACATAAAACTTCTTTTTGACTCTTGTCAAATAGAACCATTTTTCATCAACATGTAGTATCTTTTTTAAGACATTTCTCCGCGAGGGCCGATACTAAAACCACATGTTGTGGAACCGCTTCGCCAATTGTAACGAGCCTGCTCGACCAGGGACGGTGTGTAATGTTTACAGTCAACGACAGATTTTAGGGGACACCCGAAGTTTCCTAACATATGGGAAATTGTAGCCAATCAAATGGAAAATTATAACCCATCAAATAAAAAAAGAGCATTGATCTAACATGATTGGCCAAAACCAACTCTGGCGCGAAAACATTTAAAATTAGTGGGCACTTGTCAGTCATGACTCGACACCAGTCACTTTGAGATATGGCGCCAAAGGACCGCGACAAAATTAGCCCCAAGAAGAAGCCACGTCAGCGGTATACGCACGCCGTAAAGCTCGCTGTGGTCTTCCAAATGCACAACCACCCGCGAACTCGAGGCAGCAACTGGCATTTCAAAGAGCTGCATTGCCCGATGGATGCAGCATGCGACTCAACTCCTCCTTGCTGACGGCCCACTCAAGCGTTACAACCTCAGTGGCGCTGGCCGCCCTGAAGAGATCCCCGACACGGCTGCCCTTGTCGCCTACATGCACAAGCTTCGTGATGCCGAGCGTGCTGTCACATGTACTCACCTAGTAAACTTCCTCAAGCGCCACCACCGACCGTGGCTGAACGTGTACCTTGCCACCAAGAAAGCCGAGTACCCCTCCCTGCTCCGTCTGCTGTAGCGATGCTGTCACCGCCACGGATTCACACGCCAGAAGGCCGCTAAGTCCAAGAAAACACTAGCTGACCTTGAAGCCATCCGCGCTGAATTCGCAGCAGACAACCACAAGTAGTCTGCTGCGAATTCAGCGCGGATGGCTCTTCGACGGCTTCAGGCCGGACACGGTCATCAATGTTGATGAAACTGGCATGACGTACGACATGCCACCGCATGCCATGTGGTCAGTTCGAGGTGGTTCGGCCAAAATCGCCGCGGGTGAGAAGAACTCATATCGTGTGACTGCTGTTCTGGCAGTGCGAGCAAATGGTGAGAAGCTTCCAATCCAGTTCATCATGCGAGGCAAGAACGGCGGTGCCATTGAGAAGACTGAGTTCGATGGATTTCCTATTGCCCATCACTATGCCGTTCAAGAGAAGGCCTGGATTGACTCACGTGTTTGGGCGATTTACCTGCGACAACTTCTCAAGCCACAAGTCCGAGAGCTTTCGGTACTGTTGCTTGACAATTTCGACCCCCATGTAAGAAATGAAGGACGCAAGATTGCAAGAGAAGAAGCTGGATGCATTGTTGCGGCCATCCCTCCCAATGCAACATGCCATGTGCAGCCATTGGATGTAGGTATTATGGCCCCTTTCAAGCGTCATTTGCGAAACTTGTGGCTTGAGGAAGAACTCATAGAAGGTAGTGATAGCGAGGAGGATGTAGATCTCATGACTGTCCCGGCGCAAAAAATGCGTCTATCTATGATTCATCGTGCCATTAAGGCATTTGGACGTATTACGCCGGAAGAAATCCGTCGTAGTTTTGCCAAAGCTATTCCAAAACAATAAATATGTTTTCTCCAATCATTAGTTTAATTTACGAAAAATGGAAAAAGTTCGACGCGCCCCCCGGGGCTCACTCAAGCACACAACGTGTTTTACCACTGCGATATCGCTTCAAGCGCTTATCTTTACGTGTTGTCCATCGATACAGCTAATTTAAAATATAGGATGTGTTTGAAATTCTGCAAATTGACTTGCTCTTGTCTGGTTGGCCACAAACTCGAACGAATTTCGAAGTACTTCGTGCAATGATCTTCCGTCATTACTGTATCAGAAATTCAAAGTACAGGGTGTCCCTAAGATCTGTCGTTGACTGTACTTCGCTCAACGCTTCATACCTCGTGCTTCGACCGAGCTTCTTCGAAGTTCGGTCCTCGTCTTCGTACGAAGCCCTTGTTATCCGGATTCCCTAGAGGAGGGACGGATGAATCCTTGCGGAAATAATCCGGGGAAGCCAGGGATCGAACCGACGACCTTTGAGTTAAGGAACCGATGTTCTACCACTGAGCTATTTTCTCTTCCCGATACAGGGAACGACGCTGAATAGTGCCGCAAGGTCGCGCTTTGATTGGATGTTCGATTGGCCAATTACAATCGATATCACCCATAATTTAATGGACAGACGAAGGAAGCATTGAAATGGAATATTAACTTTTACAGTTTTTTTTTAAACAATAACCTGGAGCTACAAGTCTTGTCTCTGAAGATACAATTCACACAGAATACGCATTAATGCAGTGAATACCTCTTCGGCATAATTGTTTCGTTACACACTGCACAATTGTGCCACCAAAGGTGGATGTGTCAAAAAATATGACAGACAAGACGATATTAATTTAATTACATAGTAAAATCAAGATAATATACGGACTTCAGCTTCAGTGATCATACTAGTATCCCATGCCTGATGAATAGCGCGCTTAAACATCACAATTCGCTTTTCCTTTGCCGTCACAGGGCTACTAGTCAAAACCCAGAAGTCACGTAGGTGCTGCGTAAAAGGACCCATGACACATACAAAGGATGGCAGTGGGGTGTGCTATTGGGCGGCAACGGATAGAGCACGCAGCCCAACTCTTCAACCACGATCTTCTCGCTCTCTTCAGTGACATGCGAGTCAAAGTTATCGAGAATGAGTATAGATGGGTTCTCGATGTCGTACGCCAGCACTTCTTGCAGGTAGCGCTTCCAAACGACAGCATTCATCCAAGCCTTCTCTGCATGGCTGTGTTGTTTCCCACGCCAGTGCCAACACAAACAACCAAATGGGGGAGTGCTGACTCCCTGCAAACCACACACTTGATTGACTTGACCGTTAGTACGACGTTGCAGAACCAAGAGTGAGATTCTGGCAGTTGACTGGGACAGGTGTTCAGTTTTCTACGTCCTAGTACTACTAGTAATACTACTAGTAATACTATGCCTTTTCGTGTTGGTTCGCCAGGGGTCGGCACCCGGTGGCCTCGGTTGAGGACCACCTGTGTCATAGCGGGACTTGGGTTAAGTCGCCCACCATAACACACACCCCAAGCCATGTCCCGCAGGACACACTTGGGCCTCGCTAATTCTTCGCTTTCGCTCGCTTCATCGCCTTGCGCAATGCATCGCCTTCGCTCGCTGCCTTCACGCCTTCCACGTACTTCTTCACCACAGCTGGGCATTCATGCATGAGCTTCTGCAGCGGCTCCCATGAGGACTCGATAT